AAGTTCTTTAAAAAAATTATAGTACCTGGCTTAGCTGTGGGATACGCACGGACTTCTGGCATCTCTGACGCTTTGCCAGGCATTTCAAGCTTCCTAGTTTGCTTTGTAGCCTAGAAACGGCGGCGTTTGTCGACGGGGGGAGGGGGGCATTTTGCTTTCCATAGATGTGTCGACCCATCTAGGCAGCCGTTTCTCGAGTTGACACGTTTTAGGATAGTGGCTAGACGATCTTTACTTTCAGCTGCACGTGAGTGCACAAGCCGGAACTAGGGAAGCAATGATAATACAAAATGCCCCTCCGTCGACAAACAGCGCCCCTAGAAACCCATACTCCCTTCAAATTGTTGCAGTTGTTGTGGAAGCCAAATGACGATAGTGTTTAAAGAAGATTTCTTCGTGTTGCGAGTACTTGCTAAACAACTGAAGCGCATTCTCTCCAAGCTCAATATTGTCGTAGCTGTCCTTGTAGTTTAATTCCTGGTACAATGGCTTCAAAACTGATTAGGAAATGTTGCCTATGACGGCTCCACACGCAGCATACAATCGGTTCTTGGTCTCCTTATCTACTTGCTGCAATAACAACTTAATTTCCAAGGTTAGTGAGATAATACTTATGTCATGTTTTAGGCTACGTGACTTAGATACCCGGTGGGCGTGGCCAAAATAGGGCGAGGGCTTGACGTGGACGGATATAATTAGGCTTCAGCGCTTCTTCCTGAGCTTGGAGACGATAATTTCCTTCTTATTAAACAGCTGTGTGTTTCTACTGCTTGAACTAAGAAGTTCCGAGAGGAAGAATTAACTTAGATTGGAATTTATGCTTTTTGCAAAGGTATACATTAGGCAGAGGCGAAAAAGTGGTTATCAGGTCTTACGTATGATCATGAAATCAACATTAAGCACACCTTGAAGACAATAGGAACGTTTACCCTGTAAACTGTGGCTGGCCGTCTAATATCTATTGCAGCACAACTTTGGGAAACACCGGTCCATTTCGAAGCTGCCTCTGTGGCCACGCCCACCCGGGTATCTAAGTGCACGCACACCAATGTTTTATCAGAGCATGGCAGGAAATAATGCCACTGAAACATAGTATGATCCCCAATAGACCTAAGCACGAAAAAAAATTGAAAGCAGGGTTAGTTTTCATACAGTGGAGTGCGTTCGCGACGGTGGGGGCGTCCGTAACGTACTATACTGCGAGCGGCGTCCGGAACGGTTGCGGTGTCGGTGGAAAGGCGCGGAGGCATCGGCCATCACGCGTGCACTGTCTCTGCTCGTCTCGTCTCTGACATTGAACTTGCGGCTTGAAATACAGTCACTCGACCGCCGCACTAACCTACTCACCCTTATCGTCTGGGCTCTCACCAATAAATAATCTGATAAATACCAATCAGCTGGTTTCTGCGGTGTTTTTTTTTGTTTTCCTGCTATATTCGGCTTGTAAAAGCTGGAAATTATTCTAGTTTAGACTCCAGTTTCCAGGAGTGAGTGTATTTATTGGAATTAGATTACATTCTGCATGAATGAAGCATGGAATTCTCTTCAAAAATTGTGTTTCGTCTTTTCGCGATTTTTTTGAACTCTCCCTGAATATCTTCGATTAACTACTTCTGACTAAATTCATGCAAAATGAGATCTGGCTTCATTAAAACAGGCTTACTTTCCTTATTGCAAGCTGGACGAAATTAATAGTTTGTCAACGCTTTCTTGAAGCTGAAAACAGTAGAAATTCAAGTATATAATTGGGCATCAAGCCATTATCTGGATCGGGCGGTGTTCGTGACGCGCTTGTGCACGGTAGGCCGCAGGGATCGTCAACCGTCCGATGAGAACTCAACTGCTATACTCCTCTTCATTATTACGGACTGTCGGGGCGGGTCAGTGCGGCTGCGTTTTCCGCGGTTCCAAAGTCTTTCTGCACCAGTTGTTGAAGCGATCAAATGACATAACAGCATTATATCCTCGGTATGTACTGCGTTTTTCTACCACTTTTTGTCGCATACGCGCTTCAAAGAAAAGGCTGAGAACGGCTTCAAACAGTGTGCGCACTCCTTCTGGCCGATACGCCCCGACAGTCCGTAATGATGAGGAGTGTACGTTGTTCTTCGTCTGCTCCTCTGTTAAATGTCTCTGGTTCTCTGCGAAACTAAAAGCGGACAATGGAGTCTAGTCAGCCTGAAATGTCTGGCAAGGCTATGCGCCACAGTTGCGGGTTCCGATGCGAACTTACGCCGCTGTGGTTTTTTGTGTAAAACCTCCGACAATTCTGCATAGTGGCTATGAACAGGAGGTTGCTTTTATGGTTCCTACCGTGCACTGACGATGCTTATCATCGCTCAGAACACTGTGAATTAAATTTTTTACTTTGACAGAGACCAGGTCGCAACCAAAGAATAGATTTGTAGTTGATATCAGCAACCAGCGAAAGAAACTAGTGCTAGTGCAAAATTGCGTCTTTCCAAACTTGAGGCTGCGTTCATGCCTTGTTTCAGAGTCCACCAATGTACGGTTTCAAGCCCGACTGATCACTGAAATGATAGTCTTTGTCACTCCGTTGCCAACAGAAAAAAAGAGAAACGGGTGGGGCGGCGGCGCCAGAAGCTAGCCTCGCTGACAGACAACATCAAATGATAGGCGAACGCGGAGGAGGGACCGCGGCACCTCCCTCTCTACCAGTTTTTTTTTCTTCTGTCTTGCTCATTTTGTGCTTTCTGTTCCCTGTGCACTAAAGGCATGGTATTCTCTGTCTTTCCGTTTAGATGTGCTTTAAAGAATTTCGGGACGTTTTCGGTGGTGTAACGGTCAAGTCGTGTGACCTCACTTCTGCTCAAAAGCAGCTGGACTCATTCTCCTCTCTCATGTCACACTCACTGAATAATTGGAGGAGAAAAGGTTGTTCGTGGTGTTATCTGGTTAGGGTTGTCCACTTACGGTCAAGTGGATTTCCTGGTCGCGCTACAGTTTTGAATTCTTGCGTCCCAAATCAGGGTCAGCATTTTGTGTGAGACATATACCGGGGGTCGTACTTTTCCGCTGTGGAGGGGGCGTATATGGTCGTTGGGGGAGAGAGGGTCGTATGTGCGGTTGAGAGAAATTTGCCGCGTTGGAAACAAATTTTTGCGCCGGTGTCTGACTACGATTTGCGCTGATTTTAGCTGAGTGTTGCCTGTCCTTAATGTTACTAGATACCGGCCCCTCTCTCCTCGTTGCCCGCGACGGTCGACAGCAAAATTTCAAAATTTTTGAGAAAATTATGAAAATTCTCAGTAAATTCCCGGAAAAAGTGGTAGAAAGTTGGGGATGATTCAAGCAATTTTCCCGTTTCATTGGCTATGTACTCCTCCCCCTCCCCTTCCCGTTTTACCCCCTCTCACCGCTTGACGGAAAGAAGGGGGGGGGGGGGGGGGTGGTGAGTCGTGCGCATTACTATTATCAGCGACATCACGATCTGTACCGCTCGGTCGCAGTTTCTCAGCTCTGTGCTGTTATTTCCTGATCTTCTGACTTAGTATTGATTAAGAACTGCTCTGGCAGAGCGTAGACTGGTACGGCCTCTGGGACAAAAAGGCCAAAGGGTACCACTCTGTCCAGAGCCTCTGAAAAAGAGGACGGAGAAAAACGCATTTGGGTAAGCGCCTTGTATGATTTCGTGAGACGTGTGAGCTAGGCGAGGATACACTTTGCGTGCTTAGGAAAGAAAAGAAGAAAGAGAAATAAAGAAAAGAAAAGATAGTAGGAAGAGGAAGAAAACAGTGGCGAGAAGTAAACCGGCGAGCGAGAGCGCAACGCTCTAGAGTACAATATTGTGAAATGAAATGAAATGAGAACAGTCTAACTTCTGGGGAGGAGCGCCAATAATCGGTGGCGAGCCTCTGACATTGTAACGGAGGGTGCCGCGAAAAGAGGGACGTTGGAGTAGCATCAGGTGTCAACTTTATGTTAGCTCTGAGCGGCAGCGCTGAACGTAAATTGCCACATTCCATACCTGCCTTGCAGCCGAGTCTTTTTGCACCAGAAAACTCGTCAGGGCGCCCATCATCTTGATTGAGTACTCGGTCGAGCGCGCATTGGCAAGACGCTAGCTTAAACGCCATACCTGCTGATGACTAGAATAAGCATCTTCGCTTGTTTTCAGACAATTTTCCACTTAGGAAATTTCAGACACAGCCAATTTCAGACATCTTTTCCCAACCCCTTGTTAGACAGCGTTCAGACTTCGCGACGGCAGCGCTTCGGTCGCGCGTTCACGCGATCGATGCAGTTGAAAGCATGCGCATCGATCGCGTCGAACGCGCGACCGAAGCGCTGCGTCGCGAAGTCTGAACGCTGCCTTCTCTATTATTACACTACGTATTACTGATTACCGGGAAAAATTACTAAATAGATATCGATAATAGAGTTCTCGATGAACTGTTAAGCAATTGGATGTGACTTATCTTGTAAGGACGACTGTTAATTTACTGCGATCTGCTTTGAATTAGGTTCTGTCACGACTTAGAGTACTTATGATAGAACCAATTTCAAGTAGCTCAGTCAAGATTATGAACGCTCTGGACGAGTTGTCCGATGCAAAAGCTCGACTGCAGAATCGGAGTGAGGGTGGCAGTTAGGGTAGAACCGCAGGGGTATTACGACAGTTGACAGTTGTTCTGTGAGCTGCTGTACTATCAATGCGGCTCTGCTGTCGAATACAAAGTGGAGCGGAGGGGGAGTCGGATCACACCGGAAGCAAGCACCTCCCACGAAATTCCCAAATGTCAGATCTTCCTCACGAAACTTGAAGCACATTACCTGTGATTGTAAACTCAATGAAAATTAGTTTCTAGAAAGGTTTTGTATTCAAGTTGAAAGTGTAGAATCGGGGCTGAAAGTGGGTAGTGTAATTGTAGCAGTTTATATTTGGACAACTTGGCTAATTAGCGTTTTAGGATTCTCACATTATTCCAGTGCTGGTGGATAAAGGATTTTTATTCCATCATACGCAGCCAACTTACTTGATGATGACGAACTGGCTACCGGAAACGCCATCCACGTTGCCACGGTGAGAACTTAACCGTAATTTAGTGAAACTCATATTCTAACATTCTGGCAAGGATTATATGGCTCAATCCTTCCCGGTCAGTACTCATACGAGCTGATTAAAGGTATGCGCACACAATGATCGGTGTCGGCGGTCTTGTGATCGATACAGAGGATCGGGTTCTGTTGATGAGGGAGCGGCGAGGGTTGGTTTTTCAATGGTTTTATTATACTTTTGAATCAACCAACTTTATTTCTAGGGTGTACCTAGGTTGGAAATATCCTGGCGGACTTTCAGATCCGGGAGAGAGCATATTTGATACAGCTACTCGTGAAGTACTCGAAGAAACTGGAGTAAAGGCATTAGGAAAAGCCATTCTGTGCTTTAGGTACACTTTAGTTCGCTGCGGACGGTTGGGCGTGTCAGGCAGTATGAGTGTAACTGTCAAAGCCGTTCTCTGCCTTCTTGTTGAAGCGCGCATGCGACAAAAAGTGGTAGAAAACGAGTAATACGAACGATATGATACAGTCATATCATTTGCTCGCTTCAACAACTGGTGGAGAACGGGTTTGGCACCGCGCCAAACTCATCCCGCCTGACACGCCCAACCATCCGCAGCGAACTACACTAACTAACTACAAATCTTCTTAGGTAGCAAGTAGTTTTTATCTTTTGTTTGCTCTATAGAAGTCTCGGTGGAGGAGGCTTCGAAAAACTAGCTTCCATTTGTGAGAAGATTAAATGTGTGGAAACGCGAGGAGCTCCCTCATTCGGGGCTTCATCCTGGCCATAATACTGTTCCAAAAATTGAGCAGGGCAGGGGAGGGGTGTAACCTTCGCCGACGTCGCCTTCGTTTGAAGGATTCATCATCCTGTTCCGGAACACGGAGGGCTTAATTATAAGGGTAGGATTCCAAATGAAGGCGAAGAGCATGTGAGTGAAGTCTGGTTGTGAAAATGTCTCATATTCTTCTGAAAAAAGGAGGATTTACCATCAGCTCTCTCTATTCCGCACACATTCTTCCAGTGCCGACTAATTTTTAATCATTCGTAGTATGCAGTCTTTCCAAACACACGAAACCTGCAAAATATCATGTTTCAGACAAATTGCTAGATCTCAATATGAAGAATGTTGGCGATATTTATTTTGTCTGCGTCATGGAAGTTGTTGATGACACTATGAAAGCAGGCTCGACTGAAGAAGCTGCCGAATGTAGATGGTTTACCAGGTAAGTGTGTTTGTTTGAATGAATTTCCTCATACTACCGACAATTGCCGACCAAAAAGACCGACTCCATTTTTTTACAAAGTGGATGAAAGAAACATGTGATACAACTGTGTCAACCACCTGCCCCTAGCTTATGCGCAGGTCATCTAGTGAGCTGTGTGGGAGCTGGATCTAATATAACCCCGCCCGCGAGTTTGATAAAACAACTTCGTGACACATTAAAGCGAAAACCTCGTGCATTTCGAAGTTTATATTGGTGCACTGTGAGAGTGAAGGGTGTTTTTTCAGCATTTTTTCGTATTGGCAGACAAAAGCATGAATATTCATGTATTGTATTTCAGAGACGAAATTAAATCATTGCCAGAACAGGTTTTTCGTGATTTCCATCACGAAATCCTCAAGAGATACGATAAGTGGAAGAGTTCTGGACGAGCTGGATGTCATATGGCATTATGCAAATTCACTGGCAGAGACTGTAAAATGTTCTATGTTGATTAACTGTTGTGTAAATAGGCACTTTCTGTCACCTTCTAAATTATGATATATAATAAAAATGGAAGTATAGTATTATAGTGATCATCGTTAAACCAGCGAGTGTTAAACATTTTGTTTGGAAGTCAGTTCTTGAAGTGAGCAAACTACAAGACTGTATCACATCCTTTCTATGTCGTTTCCCACTAATTGTTGTCGCTTGCTCGCTTGTATTCGTAGAGAATTGTTCAGCATAGCGCCAAACTCCTCCGTCTGACACGCGCCTTCTTACGTCGCGAACAAGGCTGTTTTTGTAAGATATGATGTCTGATTTTTAACATTACCTATTTCGGGTTGCTTTGATCCGAGTATTGCTGTATTACGCCGCAGTTCGCGTTTGGAGAATAATGCTGTGTTATGGGCAAGAAGTTGAGATCCAGGCGGGAGTCGAACCCGCACCTCACGCTTTCCGGGCGAGTGCGCTATCCGTTACGCCACCAGGGCCACTTTCACCCTCTCAGCGGAGAGCTTTTACAGCTACGGCATCCTTTGAGCAGAGGCGTAAGAGAGCGCTCTCGCGTGGCAGACATGAGTTGCGGGTTCGACTCCCGCCTGGGGCCTCGACTTTTGCCCATAACTCAGCATTCTTGTGACAATCCCTGTTTTGATGAGGATAGAAAAAAATCCTGGTAATACGTTGCAGGTAAAATCCATCCTACCAAGAGAAGCGAAAAGCTGGTCGCTGATGAATGCTGGCAGACGATCGATATCTATACTTTCCTTGTCGCTGACCCTGCCGGACGCTTGGTACGCTGGAAAGTAAGAACGTGACCAGATGACTTCAATTTTTGCACCGCGTTTTTGCTTTTTTTTCCTGTGATGTAGTATTTGCATTGGATGACGCGAAAAACGATTAGTGAGTTGGAGATGTAAAGAAGCCGCTTCACTGGAATAAAACGAGCAGGTCTGAAGAACTCGTCTGAGAAGGCTGCCAGGTCCTTGTCTAAGACGTTTTCCATGATTTTTTTTTGCTTTTCGTCTTTTCAAGAAAGTCATTAAGCAGCTAGAGGTTTGCAACTGAACGCCATCATGCAGTGTATATAACCTCGAAGTTTGTCTTCAAGTTGTTTTTGACCTCTTCACTGTAAGAACAGAAATGCACTCAAGAGGGCAGCCCAGCAATGCTTCCAAATTGAAAGCGAATATCTTGATTGCCTTTGCGAGACGTTGATATTCAACACCATGACGACATTGATGGTGCTTTTCGACAGTTCATGCCCGAGTATGAAAATCTCTTAGGCAGAATTCTTCATAGAACTTACTCTTCGACATGATAGTCGCTCATGCCTTCATTTGTTATTCACTCATAGAGCACTTCATTGGGCAGTAAAACGAGTGGAACCCTAGAAATGGGTGGCACTAACTCTTTCCACAATCTTTGCAAAAATTAATTCCTCTCTGCTGGTATGCCATTTGGTTATTTCTGGTAATGCTCTCCAATTTTCTTTCGTGATTATTCCTCACTGACAATGTAAAGGAGCGGCTACTAGCCTTCTCGATTGTGTACAATATTAGTGCGGGCAGGCACGTTGAAAATAGGCTCATATGGCACCCAGATGGTGGCGCGCTTTTTGGTAATGGTTTGTTGCTTGTCATAGGGGTCCGTACACGGGTCTTAAAAAAAGGGTTTTTCTGGGGAGACCAAAAGCTGAATGGAAAGAATTTTACAAGAATGGCCGATTTTCACTATCTTGATGGAGCTCAGTGTGTTACTACATGATACTTACATTTCGACTTTATTTAAAACTATTTCGAAGCCTAATTAACGAGCACCTCATAAACTATGCATGCTCGAAGTTACAATCAGAACGGAGCCCATTAAGATAGTTAAAATCGCCCATTCTTGTCAAATTCTTTTCACTCAGTTTTTGACCTCCCCAGAAACGCATAGCAAAAATGAAACCCATTTTTGTGATCCTTGTATGGACCCCTACAACAAGCAACAAACCATTTCCAAAAAGCGCGCCACGACCTGAAAGACCTCCCTTGTAAGTTCAGGCTGTCAGACTGCGTACAGTGCCCGCGAAAATTGTGCATGAAATTGGTCGAAGAAGCTCCAGGAGGGCTGCCGCCCTCGGTGTACTGTATGCGCCCCGACAACTTGAAGCCGCAATTACTGCGAAGATGCTCACAGGGAACGCGTGAGCCCGTCCTCAAGTTTACAAAAAATAACAACTAATGCACCACATCTAAGCGGTTTAAGCGTGCGATGCATGGAAGACGAGACTATTGCGATATTACAGGGTGTGGCTATACGGGCTAGAAAACAAACCTCGCGTTTGTACATTGTAGATAGTAGCGCTCAATTACAAGCCTATAGTCGCCAAGGACTCTCCAGGGAAAGAAAAAATCATGGAGATCGTCTAAAAGACACATCCCGTGCTCAAGTAATTCATGGTCGTCACAGCCACCAGCTAGGAGACTGTCCCACTCTTGCGACTCCACAGCGAGCGAGGAGCGAGCTACAGCCGCTGAAAGTTCTAGTTCTAACGCCCGCTCAGTTGGACCGCCCACTTGCTGGATGCCCTCTCCACATCTGACGCAGGGCCGCTCAGTTGTTTGCGGGGTGGGGGCGGCGGGCATTAATCGGAATGCATGTCCTTTTTGCTGACCGCGCTCGTGCCCATAAGTAATTCTGCTCTCCTTTATTACATTTTATTCATTAGGAGCACATACAGTCAACTGCAACCCATCTCAAGGTAAAACGCGTAAAAATCACGATGTTGCAATTTTCTTGGTGCGAAAGGGTGCACCTGCTAGTGCACGCACTACTCTCCTCATCATTACGGACTGTCGGGGCGGGTCAGTGCGGCTGCGTTTTCCGCGGTGCCAAAGTCTTTCTGCACCAGTTGTTGAAGCGAGCAAATGACATGAC